ATTGGCCAGAACGTCGGCATCTTCGGCGCCGTCGTCATCCTGGCCACTGATGGATGACGGGGGGGGGTCCCGGTGGGGTTTAACCCCATCACCCCCCTCATTGGAGTTTATCCTGTTTGTAAATACTTGATTCCTGCCCGTGGATGGGGCAGGAGCTGCCTGGGGGCAAGGGGGGGCCCTGGGGGGGCGCTGGCCACTGTGTGGCTGCCCCCCCCCGCCCCGGGGGTGTTTTTACCGATGAACAAGAAGCTTTTCTGTCACCCTGGGGTTGTTCTGGTTGTTGGGGGGATCAGTTTTTTTTGGGGGGCTCAATTTGGGGGCCTGGGGGTGTGATTTGGGGGTCTGGGAGCTATTTGGGGGCAGCCTATGTGCCATAGGGTGCAGGCAGTGATGGGTGTCCCCTTCCTGCAGAGGGGAAACTGAGGCAGGGGTAGCAGGGGGTGGTCCTGGGCTGGGTTTTGCTGCCTGTTCCCTGCCTGCCGCAGGGCTTTATGGCAAGGAGCATTTCGGAATGGGGGGGTTGGTATCCGGTCGTCCCTGTGCCCCCCCCCCCGGAGCAGTGGAAAATCAAACAGGGCCGATAAGAACCTTCCGCCGGGGAGGGGGGGGGACCCGAAGTGCCTCCGGATCCGGGGCCATAAAGCGCAGGGAAGCGGCAGGATCCTGTTTGCTCTGTGGGCCGGGGGGGCCATGGGGGCTGCGCACCCCCAACCCCTCCAACAGCCCTCTCCAGTCCCAGCCCCTCCTTAGGGTGTGATGGGGGGTGGACACATCCAGACCCCCCCGCATCCCCTCCCTGGGCTGAGCCATCCGGTGACCTTTGGAAGCGGCTGTTTGCTGTTCCCGGAGGGAATGGGGCAGGAAGCACTCGGCTATGGGGGGGCCACTGCAGCCTGATCCACACACAACCGCCCCCCCCCCCCCGGATTTGGGGCCATCTGTGCGGTGGCACTGTTGGTGCCAGGTCACGGTGATGGGACATGGGGCTGGTGTGTGTCCCCCCCCCCGGGTCACAGCACGGGGACCAGTGTCCGTGTGTCCTGTGCCATTGCCATGTGTTGCTGTATCCCGTGTGCCGTGTGTGCATCCCATACCTGTGCACCGTGTCCGTGTGCCATGGTTGCGTGCCATGGCTGTGTCACATCCACACCCGTGTGCCACTGCTCCTGCTGTCACATCCGTGCCCATGTCCCATGTGCCACATGCGGTGCCCGTGTCCCTGCTGTGCCCCCATGCTCTGCGCCTGTCCCCAGCCCCCGGGGCTCCTGCTGTGGGGCTCAGCGGGGACACGGGGCTGTGACGTGGACGGGGGGGTGCGGGGGGGTCCAGCCATGCCCCTGGGTCGGTGTTGGGGGGGGAAGAGGAGGCGGTACCCCCCCTCAAGGCCATAAAATGGGGCCGGGACAGGAGCTGCCGCGTCCCAGTGCTGTCACCTCCTGACACTGTGAGTGTGGGGACGGGGCTCGGTGAGGTGTGTGACATGTGGGGTCCTTTGGGGGTTCTTATGGGGCAGGAGATCCCCACTGGGGACACTAAGGGGGGGGCTTGGGGAGGGAGATGTTTGGTGGGACATGGCGGGGGGGGGGGGGGGAATGTCACTTGGGGACCATGGGGTGTGACTTTGGGATGGGGCGATGGGAGTGGTGGTGGGCTTGGGGAGTGATGGGGGTCCATGGGGGTGATGGGGGTGAATTGGGTCCCTGGGGCTGAATTGGGTCCATGGGGGTGATGTGGGTACCAGTGTCCGGTCCCTCTCAGATGGTGATGTCCCCGCGGTGGTGGCACTGCCTGGGGGCCTTGGCGCTCTGTGTCCTGCTGGGCCTGGCCCCGCTGGCGGGCGCGTACCCCCCCAAGCCCCCAAGCCCCGGGGACGACGCTTCCCCCGAGGAGGTGGCCAGGTACTTCTCTGCCCTTCGGCACTACATCAACCTGGTGACGCGGCAGAGGTGAGCGCCGGCACGCGCGGACACGCGTGAACACGCGTGTGCTCTGTACGAGGACCCGTGTGCTCACGGGGACCCCCATGCCCGCAGGTACGGGAAGCGCTCCGAGGCCCCGGTGCTGGGGCTGCTTTGGGGCACCGGCAGTGACAGATCGTGGTGAGTGCCCCCATGTCTCCCCCCTGCAGGGGGGCCGGGCAGCTGCTTTGGGGTACCCAGGGCCGGTTTGGGGGTCCTGGCCCCCACCCCTCACACCAGCGCTTCCCACAGGTACGAGGATGACTCCTCCTGATGACGCCCCCCTCAAGTCTTCCCCATGTCTCCCCTGGGGCTCTGCCGTGTGTGTGGGGGAGGGCCTGGAAACCCCCAGATGCTGAACCGGGGGGTCCCTCTGTGGGGGGGGCCCTGCCCTGACCCCGTTCTCTCCATGCCGTTGTTGGGGGGCAGCCGCATGGCCCCGCAATGGCAATAAAGAGACGATTGTGAGCAGGGGCTGGATTGTGAGTGCGGGGGGTGGTGGGAAAGGATGGAGGAAGGGATGCGGGGGGAATCCAGGGGTGGAGGGGAAGATGCAGGGGGATGGAGGGATGCAGGAGAGAATGTGTGTGGGGGGGGTGATGGGGTGCAGGGGAGGAGGGAGGGAGGGCTGACGGGGGGGGGCAAAGGGGGGAGATGCAGGTGGGTGAAGAGGTGCAGAGGAGGGAGGGATGGAAGGGAGGATGCAGGAGGGATGGAGGGGTGATGGAGGGGTTGAGGGAGGGATGCAGGGGGTGCACTGCGGGGGCACAGGTTACTGGGTGCACTGGTGGGGGTGCCTGGGCAGTGGGTGCTGCCGCTGCCTGCTGGGTCGCTGTGGGGGCAGCAGCCATCAGGGTCTGTGTCAGGGCTGGGGGTCCCCGACCCCCCCCCAGCCCGTGGTTCTGGCTGCAGTGGGGGCTGCAGCTAACCCCGACCCCACTGCCGCAGCCCCACGTCCCCCTGTCCCCCCCTTCCTCCATCCCACCCTCACCCCACATTGCCCCTTCCCCTGCCCAGCCCCACTCTGTCCACCCCTGGGGCCCAGGTGCTCTGGGCACAGACATCGGCTCCCCCCGTCCCTGTCCTCAGCCCGGACCCCCCCAGCCCGGTCACACATTAACCAGGGCAGCGCCAGGGGCCCCGTGGGCCCCCCCCACCCAAGTGGCCGCCGGTGCCACGCGTCCGGGTGACATCGGGGGGGGATGCACACACACATAGGATATAAGGGACGGAGCCAGAGCCGCACCGGGGAGCCCACGGCCACAGCCCCGTGTCAGTGAGTCCTTGTCACCGCTTCTGCGAGCAGGTGAGTGGGGCTGGGGCCTCATCCTGGGGGTGACAGGGACGGGGGATGCGGGAGGTGTGCACATGTGTGTGCTGGTGTGTGCACACGTGTACGGGTCTGTGCTCACACGTGTACGGGTCTGTGCTCACACGTGTACGGGTCTGTGCTCACACGTGTACGGGTCTGTGCTCACACCTGTACGGGTCTGTGCTCACACGTGTATGGGTCTGTGCTCACACGTGTATGGCTGCGTGCTCACACGTGTACGGGTCTGTGCTCACACGTGTACAGGTCTGTGCTCACACATGTACGGGTCTGTGCTCACACGTGTACGGGTCTGTGCTCACACGTGTACAGGTCTGTGCTCACACATGTACGGGTCTGCGCTCACACGTGTATGGGTCTGTGCTCACATGTGTACGGGTCTGTGCTCACACGTGTACAGGTCTGTGCTCACACGTGTACAGGTCTGTGCTCACACGTGTACGGGTCTGTGCTCACACGTGTACGGGTCTGTGCTCACACGTGTACGGGTCTGCGCTCACACGTGTACAGGTCTGTGCTCACACATGTACGGGTCTGTGCTCACACGTGTACAGGTCTGTGCTCACACGTGTACGGGTCTGTGCTCACACGTGTACGGGTGCGTGCTCACACGTGTACGGGTCTGTGCTCACACGTGTACGGGTCTGTGCTCACACGTGTACAGGTCTGTGCTCACACATGTAGGGGTCTGTGCTCACACATGTACAGGTCTGTGCTCACACGTGTACGGGTCTGTGCTCACACGTGTACAGGTCTGTGCTCACACATGTAGGGGTCTGTGCTCACACATGTACAGGTCTGTGCTCACACCTGTACGGGTCTGTGCTCACACATGTACGGGTCTGTGCTCACACGTGTACGGGTCTGTGCTCACACCTGTACAGGTCTGTGCTCACATGTGTACGGGTCTGTGCTCACATGTGTACGGGTCTGTGCTCACACGTGTACGGGTCTGTGCTCACACCTGTACAGGTCTGTGCTCACATGTGTACGGGTCTGTTCTCACACGTGTGCAGGTCTGTGCTCACACGTGTACGGCCGCGTGCTCACACCTGTACAGGTCTGTGCTCACACATGTACAGGTCTGTGCTCACACGTGTACGGGTCTGTGCTCACACGTGTACGGGTCTGTGCTCACACATGTACAGGTCTGTGCTCACACGTGTACGGGTCTGTGCTCACACGTGTACGGGTCTGTGCTCACACGTGTACGGGTCTGTGCTCACACGTGTACGGGTCTGTGCTCACACGTGTACGGGTCTGTGCTCACACCTGTACGGGTCTGTGCTCACACGTGTACGGGTCTTTGCTCACACGTGTGCAGGTCTGTGCTCACACCTGTACGGGTCTGTGCTCACACGTGTACGGGTCTGTGCTCACACGTGTACGGGTCTGTGCTCACACGTGTACGGCTGCGTGCTCACACGTGTACGGGTCTGTGCTCACACGTGTACGGGTCTGTGCTCACACGTGTACGGGTCTGTGCTCACACGTGTACGGGTCTGTGCTCACACATGTACGGGTCTGTGCTCACACGTGTACGGGTCTGTGCTCACACGTGTACGGGTCTGTGCTCACACGTGTACGGGTCTGTGCTCACACGTGTACCGGTCTGTGCTCACACGTGTACGGGTCTGTGCTCACACGTGTACGGCTGCGTGCTCACACGTGTACGGGTCTGTGCTCACACGTGTACGGCTGCGTGCTCACACGTGTACGGCTGCGTGCTCACACGTGTGCACCCACATGTGCCAGGCGCAGCCATGGCTCCCCGCTGCCGGGCGCTGCTGCTGCTGGTGTGGGCACTGGTGCTGCTGCGGGAGGGTCCTGGCGCTGCCAGCCCCGCACAACCCAGGTACCCCGGGGACGACGCGACCCTCGAGGAGCTCGAGCGCTTCTACCAGGACCTGCAGCAGTACCTGAACGTGGTGACCCGGCACCGGTGAGCGTGGGGCGGCCACGCAGCCCCATCGTGACACGATCCCCATTGTGACACAATCTCCATCGCGACACAATCTCCATCGCGACACAATCCCATCGTGACACAATCCCATCGCGACACAATCCCCATCGCGACACAATCCCCATCACGACACGATCCCCATCGCAACACAATCCCATCGCGACACGATCCCCATCGCGACACGATCCCCATTGTGACACAATCCCCATCGTGACATGATCCCCATCGCGACACAATCCCATCGCGACACAATTCCCATTGTGACATGATCCCCATTGCGACACAATCCCCATTGCAACACAATCCCCATCGCGACACGATCCCCATCGCGACACGATCCCCATTGTGACACAATCCCCATCGTGACATGATCCCCATCGCGACACAATCCCATCGCGACACAATTCCCATTGTGACATGATCCCCATTGCGACACAATCCCCATTGCAACACAATCCCCATCGCGACACGATCCCCAGCGTGACACGATCCCCATCACGACACGATCCCCATTGCTACACGATCCCCATCTCAACACAATCCCCATCGTGACACGATCCCCATTGTGACACAATCTCCATCGCGACACAATCCCCATCGCGACACAATCCCCATCACGACACGATCCCCATCGCAACACAATCCCATCGCGACACGATCCCCATCGCGACACGATCCCCATTGTGACACAATCCCCATCGTGACATGATCCCCATCGCGACACAATCCCATCGCGACACAATTCCCATTGTGACATGATCCCCATTGCGACACAATCCCCATCGCGACACGATCCCCAGCGTGACACGATCCCCATCACGACACGATCCCCATTGCTACACGATCCCCATCTCAACACAATCCCCATTGTGACATGATCCCCATCATGATATGACCCCCACCGCGACACGATCCGTGTCGCAACATGGCCCCATTATGACTTGATCCTCAAAGAGGTACAGCCCCATTGAAATGTGCCCCCATAATGACCTGCTCCCCACTCTGACCTGCCTCCCATTGTGACTTGCTCCCCATCACGACATGCTCCCATTGTGACATGCTTCCCATTGTGACCTGCCCCCACTGTGACCTGCTCCCCATTGCAATGTGCTCCTCATCATGCTGTGCCCCCTGTTATGACCTGCCCCCATTGTGATGTGTTCCCCATCCCCATTGTGACCTGCCCCCCACTGTGACGTGCTCCCCATCATGACCTGCTCCCTGTTGCGACGGGCATCATGACGTGCTCCCATTGTGATGTGTTCTCCACTGTGACCTGCCCCCTTTTACACACTGCTCCCTGCTGCCCCGTTCTCCCCGTTACACACTGCTCCCCATTACACACTGCTCCCCATTACACACTGCTCCCCGTTACACACTGCTCCCCATTACACACTGCTCCCCGTTACACACTGCTCCCCGTTACACACTGCTCCCCATTACACACTGCTCCCCGTTACACGTTGCTCCCCATTACACACTGCTCCCCGTTACACACTGCTCCCCGTTACACACTGCTCCCCGTTACACGTTGCTCCCCATTACACACTGCTCCCCGTTACACACTGCTCCCCGTTACACACTGCTCCCCGTTACACGTTGCTCCGGTGGCTGCTCCCTGGTAACACGCTCCCTGCAGGTACGGGAAGCGCTCCGGTGGGCGGGCGCTGTCCGAGGAGCCCTTCGGCACCGCGGGGTGCTGAGCCCCAGGTGAGGAGGGGCCGGGGCTGGGTCATCCCGGGCATCACCTCCGTGTGCCGGCAGGGCTGTGGGTGCTGGGTGCTGACCCCTCTCCTTGCAGGGATGCTGCGCGGCCGGTGGGTGAAGAGGAGCCTCCCAAAAGCAGCAACACCACCCACCTACAGCACCCACCAACGGCACCCACTGCACCCACCTACAGCACCCACCAGCGGCACCCACTGCACCCACCTACAGCACCCACCAACGGCACCCACTGCACCCACCTACAGCACCCACCAACGGCACCCACTGCACCCACCTACAGCACCCACCAGCGGCACCCACTGCACCCACCTACAGCACCCACCAACGGCACTCACTGCACCCACCTACAGCACCCACCAGCGGCACCCACCAACGGCACCCACTGCACCCACCTACAGCACCCACCAGCGGCACCCACTGCACCCACCTACAGCACCCACCAACGGCACCCACTGCACCCACCTACAGCACCCACCAGCGGCACCCACTGCACCCACCTACAGCACCCACCAACGGCACCTACAGCACCCACCAGCGGCACCCACAGCACCCACCAACGGCACGCACCTACAGCACCCACCAACGGCACCCACTGCACCCACCTACAGCACCCACCACGCTGCATCCATCACCCCTGGACCATCCTGCCCCCCCCGCAATAAACCCCCTGCAGCCACCTTCTGCCTCTGCCTGCTTGGGAAGACGGGGAACTGGGGATGCTGAGGACAGTGGGGATGCTGGTGACACGGGGGGGTGGGTCCATGGGGACCCTGATACTGGTTGTGCTGGGCACTGCAGTCACTGACTGGGGCAGGAGGCACCGGGGATGCCGGCGCTGGGACACCTTGGGGGGGTCCCCACTGCGCGGGTGCCGGTGCCGCGCTGGGGTCCCCCCGTTCTGTCCCTGGGAGGTCACAGGGGCCCCGTGCGCCCCCGCGAGCGCCCGTGGTGCCCTCGCACACGCGTGTGCAAGCACGAGCCCGTGTGCCCGGGGCTGCCCGGGCCCCGCACGCCTGCGCGGTGGCCCCGTCCCGGCCGTGCCAGGCCCCGTGGCCCGCAGCGATGCCCGCGGCTGCCCCCGGCTCCGTCGCGGGTGAGCGCGCACCGGGGCCTTGCACACGCGCGTGCAAGGGGCAGCCCCGGCCCTGCTGCAACGCGCGTGCAAGCGGGGGGTGCTGCGGGGGTCGCTCCTGCGAGGGCGGCGCTGCGGGGGGGGGGGGACGGACGGGACACACGTGCGTGTGCGCGCTTGTGCATGCCCGTGTGCAAGGGAGCGGGCCGCGGTCCCTTTAAATCCGCCCCCCCCCCCGCTGCCATGGCAATAGCGCCCCCCCCCCCTTAAAGGGGCCGAACACCCCCGTTCCCCCTCCCCACGCTGCGGGGGGGTTCCGGGGTGTGTGCGCGTGCAAGAGCAGGTAAGTGCAAGCGCGGTGGGGTGTGTGTGTGTGTGTGTGTGTGTGTGTGTGAGCGTGAGCACACGAGCGTGCCCGCGTGTGCAAGGCGGGGTGGGATGATGTGGACCGGGGGGGCCGCGGTACCCGGATGATGGTGGGGGTCCCCGGCGCTGCCGCGCGCAGCCATGAGCGACCCCGGCAGAGGGTTCCCGGCCCCTAAGAGTCCCCCCCGGCACCCCCCAGGTAGGGGGGGGGGAATAGGGGGTGCGGGGGCTGATGGGGCGCATGGCCCTGGGGGGGATGAGGGGGATGAAAGGAGATGGCGGCAGGGAAGGGGGTGCGTGGGTGATGTTGGGGGGGGCTCTTGGGTGATGCTGTGACCCCCCCCCCCCCGATATGGGGGTGTCTGGATTAACACCCCCCCCATCCCCAGCATCTCCCGCCATTGCACTGCTGTCTCTCGCAGCCCCCCATTGCATTGCACCCCTCCGTGCATTGACCCCCCCCATTGCATCAAAACACATTGATTGCACTGAACTCCCCCAATCGTATTGCGCTCCCCCACATCATCCCCCTCCAATTGCATTGCACCCACCCCAGTTGCACAGAACCCCCCCCAGCTGCATTTTGGCCCTTATCACTGAACACACCTCCAAGTGCTGCGTTGGGGGGGGGCTCCCTGTGGTCCCTGGTGCGGGGGTGCCATAATGGGTCTCCATGATCCTCCCATTTCCCCCCAAGCCATGCAGCAGGTCCTGGACAACCTGATGGGGGTCCCAGGCCCCCCCGGAGCCGCGGACCTCGACCTCATCTTCCTGCGCGGCATCATGGAGAGCCCCATCGTGCGGTCCCTGGCCAAGGTGAGGGGACACCACGCGGACACCGTGACCCCCCCGGGCACGGGGCAGCACATGCGGCACATGTGTGCATGTGTGTTGAGGGCTATCGTGTGTTTGTGCACACACATGTGTGTCCCTGTGGTGCGCAGGAAGATGTGCATGCATATGGGTGTTTGTGCTTGTGTACATGTGTGTGCGTATAGTGCATGGATGTGTGCTCACATGTGTGTGTGTTCGCATGTACCTGCACGTGCACACATGTATCTATGCGTGTACACGTGCATCCATATGTCTTTGCGTGTGTGTGCGTGCATATGTGGATATATGCTTGTGTGCATGCGGGGAGGTCTCTGCTCATGTTTGCACATACCTGTGTGTGCATGTACATGTAGGTATGCATCCACATGTACATAGATGTGTGTGCATGCATGGATGTACGTGCATGCAGGGAGGTGTGTGCCCATACTTGCTCATACGTGTGTGTGCATGCACGCAAGTGAGTGTGCATCTTTGCACGCGTGTGTGCACGTGTGTGCATCACTCTGTGTGCGTGTTGCTGGGGGCTCGTGGCTGCCCCACATCCTGTGTGTTTACCATTACAGGTGTGTGGGTATTTACATGCGCACATGATTGTGCAATGGCACGCGCGTGTGCACACGTCGCTGTGGTGATAGGTGAGCGCACACGTGTACGCCTGTATTTGATGCTGTGCATGTGTGTGCCTGCAAAAGGGCAGGTTTGTGCATGTGCACACGGGGTGCTGTGTGTGTGCAAAGGCCAAGGTGTGCTCACGTGTTCTTGCTCACATGCGTGTGCCCACAGGCGCACGAGCGGTTGGAGGAGCGGCGCTTGGAGGCGGTGCAGGACAACAACGTGGCGCTGGTGCAGGAGATCCTGCGGGACATCGGGCCCCTGGCGCCGCGGGACAGCGCGGCTGCGGAACTGAGCCGCATCCTGCGCCAGCCCCACTTCCAGGTGCGAGCATGTGTGTGCAAGGATGTGTGTGCAGGGATGTGTGTGCAGGGATGTGTGTGCAAGGATGCGTGTGCAAGGACGCGTGTGTGAGGACACGTGTGCAGGGATGCATGTGCAAGGATGCGTGTGCAAGGATGTGTGTGTGAGGACACGTGCAAGGAAGCGTGTGCAAGGACGCGTGTGTGAGGACACGTGTGCAGGGATGCATGTGCAAGGATGCGTGTGCAAGGGCGTGTGTGTGAGGACGCGTGTGCAGGGACATGTGTGCGAGGACACATGTGCAGGGAACTGTGTGCAGGGATGCTTGTGTAAGGACACGTGTGAAAGGACACGTGTGCGAGGCGCGTGCCAGCCCTGTGCCGTGTCCTCGCAGTCGCTGCTGGAGACGCACGACTCGGTGGCCACCAAGAGCTACGAGACCCCCCCGGGGAGCCCGGTCCCGCCCCCCGGCAGCCACCACCCGCTGCCCCCCGATGCCGTGCGCATGGTGGGCATCCGCCGTGCGCCCGGCCAGAGCCTGGTGAGAGCCAGTGGAGCCACGGGTGCTGCGGGTGATGGGGATGGTGCTGTGGGCACTGGGGTGCTGGGGGGCATTGCTGGGTGCTGTGGGTGGTGGTGGTGCAAGTGCTGTGGACATTGGGGGTGCTGTGGAGTGTTGCTGGGTGCTGGGAGCATTGGGAGCATTGCAGGGTGCTGGTGTGATGTTAGGTGCTGGTGCCAAGTGCTGTGGGGTGCTAGAGGGCATTGCTGGGTGCTGGGAGCATTGCAAGCACTGTGGGGTGCTGTGGGTGATGGTGATGGTGCAGGTGCTGTGAGCATTGGGGTGCTGTGGGGTGCTGGAGGGCATTGCAGGGTGCTGTGGGGTGATGATGCAGGATGCTGTGGACATCAGGGGTGTTGCTGTTGACACTACAGAGTGCTGGGAAGGTATTACTGTGGGTGCTGGGGGCGTTGCGGGGTGCTGGAGCATTGCTGGTGTGACTGGAGGGCAATGGGTGATGCTGGGGGTGACTGGATGTGACCGCTGGCACTGGTGCCGGTGCTGACCGGGGCTGTGCACGCAGGGGGTGACATTCCGGGTGGAGCGGGGGGAGCTGGTGGTCGCCCGCATCCTGCACGGGGGCATGGTGGCGCAGCAGGGGCTGCTGCACGTGGGGGACGTCATCCGCGAGGTGAACGGGCGCGAGGTGGGCAGCGACCCGCGGGCTCTGCAGGACTCCCTGCGCCAGGCCAGCGGCAGCGTCGTGCTCAAGGTGCTGCCCAGCTACCAGGAGCCGCACCCGCCCCGGCAGGTACCTCACCCCCAGTGCCCGCGGCTGCGCATGTCTGCATCTGCATCCCACCCTGTATCTACCTCTGCATCCTCCTCTGCGTTCTGCCCTGCATCCACATCTGTACCTGTATCCCTGTCCTGCCTTGCATCCACCTTTGCATCCACGCCTGCACCCGCATCTGCATCCTGCCCTGCATCCACCTCTGCACCTGCATCTGCATCCACCTCTGCCCCGCATCTGCATCCTGCCCTGCATCCACCTCTGCACCTGCATCTGCATCCTGCCCTGCGTCCACCTTTGCATCCACATCTGCATCCTTGCATCCACATCTGCATCCCACCCTGCATCCTGCCCTGCATCCACATCTGCATTCCACCCTACAACCTGCCCTGAATGCACATCTGCGCCTGCATCTGCATCCCGCCCTCCATCCACCTTTGCACCTGCATCTGCGTCCCACACCCAGCACCCTACCCATGGATACTCCATGTCTGTGTCCCTATGTCCACATTGTCCCCATGCTCACATGTGCCCCATGTCCCCTGTCCCCTCTTCATGTGCCTCATCTCCCCTTGAGCCACACGACCCCCTCTCCCTGCTGCCCCCCTGCAGAGTCGTGCCCCATGGCCAGTGGGACCCTGGTGTCCCCCATGCCCCGTGCACTGCCGA